CCATATTGGCCAGGCTGGTCTCGAACTCCTGACCTTGTGATCTGCCTGCCTCGGCCTCCCAAAGTGCTGGGATTACAGGCGTGAGCCACCACGCCTGGCCGAACACTCCAAATTCTTTACACACACATCAAGCCTTCTAAGATCAGGCCTACCTTCCCAACCTCATCTCCCACCACATCCACTTTTTATTCTCTAACATTATCAATTTGTTTATAGCTCACATACATCATGCAATTTGTTTCTCTATACTTTCTTCTCTTTGCTTGAATGCCCCTCTCCCTTCTCTATTCCACACCCCCATCACTCTTTTTCAGATGGCTAACTCCTACTCATTCTTTAAGAGTCAGCTCAGATGCCATCTTCAAAATGCATTCTCTACACCCCCATGCTGAGATAAGTAGTCCTCTTCCGTGCTCTTATTGAACACTATGCATATCTCTTTTACACCATTTATCACCATGTACTAAAATTATTTGTGTATTTATTATCCCATTAGATCCTACTCAACTCATAGAGGGGCTATGTCATATTCATCTTTATATCCCTAGTGACTAGTAATGGACAGAGCCTCAAATATAGTAGGAGCAACCCACTGTTGAACTGAACTTAATCTCCAAGAGATCACCTCCAGCAATTCCAATTAAGAAACAAACTCACAAAATTCCGAGAGGACCCCATTAAAAATAGAGATGCAGGTAACGCAGTTACCGCCACTATGTCTTGCGAATTTTTGTATTTTTAGTAGACACGGGGTTTTACCATGATGGCCAGGCTGGTCTTGAACTCCTGACCTCAGGTCATCCACCCGCCTTGGCCTCCCAAAGTGCTGGGATTACAGGCGTGAGCCACCACGCCTGGCCGAACACTCCAAATTCTTTACACACACATCAAGCCTTCTAAGATCAGGCCTACCTTCCCAACCTCATCTCCCACCACATCCACTTTTTATTCTCTAACATTATCAATTTGTTTATAGCTCACATACATCATGCAATTTGTTTCTCTATACTTTCTTCTCTTTGCTTGAATGCCCCTCTCCCTTCTCTATTCCACACCCCCATCACTCTTTTTCAGATGGCTAACTCCTACTCATTCTTTAAGAGTCAGCTCAGATGCCATCTTCAAAATGCATTCTCTACACCCCCATGCTGAGATAAGTAGTCCTCTTCCGTGCTCTTATTGAACACTATGCATATCTCTTTTACACCATTTATCACCATGTACTAAAATTATTTGTGTATTTATTATCCCATTAGATCCTACTCAACTCATAGAGGGGCTATGTCATATTCATCTTTATATCCCTAGTGACTAGTAATGGACAGAGCCTCAAATATAGTAGGAGCAACCCACTGTTGAACTGAACTTAATCTCCAAGAGATCACCTCCAGCAATTCCAATTAAGAAACAAACTCACAAAATTCCGAGAGGACCCCATTAAAAATAGAGATGCAGGTAACGCAGTTACCATGCATATATTCTAACTAGCCATAGCCTCCTCTGCAATGTCCAGAACTACCCACACCATACCACACCACACTACCCTACTCAACAATAAGACAGGTTGTTCTGTCCATTTATACAAAAAGGAACTGAGGCTAGACTAAGAAACAATAAAATATTTTGTATTTCTAGCCGGGCGTGGTGGCGGGCGCCTGTAGTCCCAGCTACTCGGAGGCTGAGGCAGGAAAATGGCGTGAACCTGGGAGGCGGAGCTTGCAGTGAGCCGAGATCGCGCCACTGCACTCCAGCCTGGGTGACACAGCGCGAGACTGTCTCAAAAAAAAAAAAAAAAAGAAAGAAACAATAAAATAATAAGCTGCTTTGGAAAAACAAAGCTGATAGAGACTTGGAAAGCTGAAGAGTAAGTAGGAACTAGTCCTCTCTTCCTCAGATGAGAAACTAAAATGAAAGCACAGAGAAACTCATTCCCTTAAGAAAAGGGGAGGTACACTCTGGGATCACTTAACCCTATACCATGGGTTCTGACATGTAGAAAGGAAATGTAATCCATATATAATTTTGAGAGCCCAGATGCCCCACCCAAAGCATGGAAAATAGCTATTCAACTGTAGACTGGTATTCCTTGTCTCTTCCTCTCGATTCACCTGTTGCTGTCACTGGGTACAAATGAAGGTGCTAAAGGAAAATAAGTTCTTGCTCATAGCAGTCAACACGAGAAAACTGAGCCTCCTCAGAGCCCCTGTAACTTCTCCTTGTTCCCTATCCCACCTGTTCCCTTGGGCCAGCTGTTGATTATGAGGATCTCAGATAAAGCAGATGGGTAGCTTTCACATTAAACCAACCAGAAGAGCCGGTTGCTCCCCAGTTCCCAAATTTAAAGTGTGCTTAAACCCGAGGAAATGAAGAAACACTGTCCCCACATACCCTCACAATGGAAAATGAGGCAAAATACAGGAAAGCACTGTGGTCCTAATTACGCATCTATGGATGTAATTCTATGAGCTTCAATCCCTTGAAGTTAACTCCCTACATTTGAGAGGAAACAGACACACTAGCCACCTTTAAGTCCCAGATCCCAGGCTAGATCATCAATGTACTAGGAATTATAAGAGCTTTTAGGTCAGTGGTTCTCAACCAGGGGCAAATTTGACCCCTGGGGAATATGTCGCAATGTCTGGAGACATTTCTGATTATCATGCCTGGTGGGGAAGGGGACTGCAATCAGCACATAATGAGTAGAAGCCAGGGATATTTAGAAACATCCTATAAGACAGGTGCAGTGACTCATGTCTGTAATCCCTGCACTTTAAGAGGCCAAGGGGGGAGGAACGCTTGAGCCCAGGAGTTTGAGATCAGCTTGGACAACATGGTGAAACCCCATCTCTACAAAAAATAAAAAATTAGCCAGGTGTGGTGGCATGCATCTGTGATCCCAGCTACTTGGGAGGCTAAGGTAGGAGAATCGCTTGAGCCTGGGAGGTCGAAGGTGCAGTGGGATGTGATAGCGCCACTACAGCCCAGGTGACAGAGACAGACCCTGTCTCAAAAGAAAAAAGAAACATCCTATAATGCACAGAACAGTCTGCCACAACAAAGAATCATCCAGCACAAAATGTCAATAATGCCGAGGATGAGAAACCCTATTCTAGGTGGAGCATGATGAAGGGTCAAAAGAATGCATGTCACTTTCCACACTAGATCTAGAAGCAGCCATTTGGGCCCCCCAATCCAAACCCATCAAACAACATTCCAGAAGAAAAGAAAAGCCTATCGGACATACACATTCATTTAACTCCCAAGTCTAACTGCACTAAGGTGTTTCATGCCATTCCAACCTTGGGTCCTCTGTCACCTGCTGTTGCCATTCAGCTGAAGAACAGGTGGTAGTTCTACACCCACTTCTGCCCCATCCCAGGAGGTCTACTTTGACCTAGTTCAATCTGGAGTTCTGTGGGGATATTAGAAATGTAATCCTCTGCAAGACAGATACAAAGGATCCTGCTCGTAAGCCTCAGGGCCATCTTTAAAGTCTTGAAACTGGATGAGTAGCAGACTCCTTGTTAGGTCACTAATCAGACTTATATTGCTTATTCAGTGAAGCAAAACATAGAAATATGTAAGTTCCTCAAGGCCATGTCCTTGGGAGAAATATGAGGATACTGTCATGCAGGTTAAGGGGCAGCCCTCTTCACTTAATGCAACCCAGATAAGGGTTCCAAGAATCTATCTAACTTTCACATTAAAAGAATGTGATGAGGCCTGGCACGGTGGCTCACACTTGTAATCCCAACACTTCGGGAGACCAAGGCAGGACTGCTTGAGCCCAGGAGTTCGAGACCAGCCTGAGCAACATGGCACAACCCCATCTCTACAAACAATAAACAAAAATTTCCTGGGCATGGTGGGACATACCTGTGGTCCCAGCTACTCTAACGCACCACTGCACTCCAGCCTGGGGTACACAGTGAGACCTTGCCTCAAAAAAAAAAAAGGAAAAAGGAAAAAAAATGTGATGAAAGTTCAACTGATTAGTAAAATTAGAAAAGAAAACATGACCAATTTCTTCTAAAACCAAAATATACTCAGATTTCTGTGGCAGTGAAGCAAGGGAGCTCAACTTAAAACATACAGAGATCCTAGATAACAGGTATCAGAATGGTGAGGAGAATGTAGCCCTCTGAACAGAAGATTAGAACTAACTCAAGTCTTGGTATCTGAAACACTGCCAAATACCAAGAGACAAAACTACAGCACACAGAAAGTCCTGATCCCACTGACTGGTCTGGCTCTATGTGAGACAGTAACACATGAATTCTCCCCTACAGTTTCCCAAGAATAATTGATTCTGAGGAATTGCTGTATTTCCTGGAGTTTTACTTTTTTTAGAGAAGTCCAAGTCAGCCAAGGGCCAACAGACAGTCTATAGGTATCTTCAGGATTTTCTCCTGATTGGTCCTTCTCTACTATGTTTCTACTTCCAAGCAAAGTCTGGTCTCATCCCAACCAGGAATAGCTGTAGTTTTTGAGGTACTTGGCTCTCTCAGAAGCCCTTAGGGGAAAGCCACGTGAAAGAAATAAAAAAGAGTGCTGTCTTGAAATGAAAACGACAGTCATCTTTTCTGAACAGGGATGATATTTATAATTTCATAGGAGAATTAGAGATATCTGACTCAGAAGTCCTCAGAAGAAAAGTCATTTGTAGTTCTTTTTTGTAGAAGAACTACAAAAAAAGTGGTGTCTTGAAACTTGAAATGAAAACTACATAGAAAATCTTAAAGATGGTTAAGAGTACATTCTTGCTCGTGGAACTAGGAAATGTAATCAAATATCTGGAAGTCAAAATTACACAGTATGTTTTCAAAATAAAGATGCCAGGAACCCCCCAACAGCTAGAAGAGAAAGTGAGAGGAAAAGTTTCCCATGGAAGGAAGGTGTCCCAGCAACCCTCCAAGGGCAAAATTTAGTAGACAATGTACTAGAATACAGCCTTCCATATGTTAAAAAAAAAAAAAAGTTTCAGAGCTGACCAAGAAGACTAGACAATAACAAACCAAAGCTGGGGGATTGTCCCAAGACATCTAAATCTCCTTCTCTTTTCCCTCCTATCTTCAATTAACTGAAGTAACAGTGATTACAACAGATCTCATGCACTCAGATGGGTGAATGAAAACTCATTTTCCCTGGCATTCTCCTCCTCATTAAGGGACCCAACCTCAAAATAACTCTCATGCTATTTCCATTCCCTTCCATTGTTTGAAAACAATAAAAAAGTTCCAGACTTACCTCCGCAAGAAACTTAATTTCCCAGGTCTCTTCCTAGCACAAGTTTCACAGCCAGCAGCAAAACAAAAACAAATAAGGAGAGGAAAATAATTAATTTTCAAGTTTTACTTTGAAACCTCGAAGGCCCATAGAATTAGACAATCTCGTTGCAAAAGTACACAGACAAGCCTAAAGACATTTAGAGAACTCACCCCCAACAAGTCTCCAGGCTTCCCTAACTCTCTATTAGTCAATTTACAAAAATACCAACTCCAAGAATTTCCAGTCTCAATGGCTTGCGGTAAGAAAGCTCCCAAATTTAAGAACTTCTGGGAAAATCAATTACCCTCTGGCACTTTCTTATCTTCCTCCACAATTCCTTATTCCTATTTTGTTACAATATTAATGTTAACTTTCATCTTCAGAAAAAACTGGGAGGCAAGTGGTTACAACAGACCAGCACTATCCTCCAAATTCTACCTTTGGCCCTTTCCCTTAACTAGCACACAATGAGAACAAAATATCTAATGGCGTAGCATCCACTCATACATCTATGTTTCACCAGGGAAAGTTTTTCTACATACAGTATCCATGTTACCCCCTCCCTTCTAGACTTAAACAGCAAAAGGGTCTGGAAACTACAGCACTCATTTAATTAGCCTGTCTAGATGCCACTCTATCTTTTGTCTTTCCCTCCTCAGACTTCCAGAGCCTCCACCTTAGCATATAGGGTTCCAATATAGCCATGTCTGCTCCCCCACTCTTTTATTGCTAATGCTAAAAACTAGAAAAGTCCTTTGCTCCTCCACACTTGGACGACACCGGCTTCCCCATTTTCCCAAGCAGGAAAAACAAGGGAACAGTAAGCTAGGGAGTCTTTTGGAAAACAAACCCAGTTGAATTCTCATCCAACCCCAATTCTGCAAACCCACATGACCATTCCCTTCTGCCCTTCCCACCCTCTTAAAAGCTAAGGACCTGGCAATTAGAATTGGCTGCAACTGATGCTGCTTAACTCTGTTCTCTCCTCCTCTCCACCGGGGAAAGGGAAACCCCCGAACCTCTATCACCCGTGCAGCTCCACTGTCCTATCTCCCATTCCACTCCTTCTTCCCAAACTTTCTTCCTCCCAGTCTCTCACTTTCTCCATTACCTCCTCCCACCGACACTCTCTCCATTCCCCAAACCTCCGTTCTCTCCTTTTCCACCCAAATTCTCCCCTAGGCCCTTCCCCCTCCCACATCCAATTTAACACTTTCGAAGCCCCCCAGAATCGTCTAAACTCCAATTCTGAGCTTTCCCCACATCCTCGCAACACCCCTCATCAGAGTCCAGTCCTCCCTCCAACCACATGCCACAGCCCCCTTCCCCTTCACACCCTCAGCCTCTCCCTCCTGCTCCTACCCACTTCAATACGAGCGGATCGCAGCCCCACTCCCCACCTCGGCCTCTCTAATACCCCTGGCTGGGCCCAGACTCAGCCCTTGTTTACGCCCCTCCCCATGCCCTCACTCCTCGGTCTCGACCCCTGCCCTCTCCCGCAGTTGCCATCTCCCCTGCACGCCCCCCTCGGCAGCTCCCCTCCCCCACCTCTCAGCGTCCCGTCACCTCCCTCTCTTGAGGTTCTCAGGCTGGACGTCGCCACCGCCTCCCCCTCCACTTTCCTTCCCCAAGCCCTTTGCGGCCCCGCCCGGCCCCGCCCCGTCCCGCTCGACTCCCTCTCCCCATTCCGGCCGCCCCTCCGCCTCACTCTCGGCTCAGGCTCGGCGCCGCCATATTGGATCCATCCGCGCCGCTCTCCCGGGCCTGTCTCACGGCGCCGCATCCGGGCTCCAGCCGCCGCCGCCGCCGCCGCCGCGGGCGTGGGGGAGGGGAGAGGCGGGCGGGGGTGGCTGCATCCTGAACGGCGCCTCCCGGAACCCGGCCGGTTAGTGGCGGCTTCGAGGCCATAGTGAGACATGAGCCGCAGTAGCCATAGTAAGTGAGGGCAGCCTGGCAACGGCATTAAGCGGGGAGTGGATAGCTTCACTTCGGGAGGAGAGATAGGGATTGGCAGCCATCTTGCTTTGGGGCAAGCTGGCAACGCCGGTTTTTCTTGACGGCTGCTTAGGGCGGTAATAAGGAATGGGAGAGGATAGCGTTCTTGAATGTGGAAACATTGGTGGCGCCACAGCTGGCTGGTGGCCACTTCAAGACCCACTGAAAGGCTGGGATTGGCAGCCATGACTCATAAGGGCGGAATAGCACGGGGATCGGTTTGTCTGGAGAACTTGAGTGAAGGGTCAAGTTCTGGATTTCACCTTTCCTCTGAGCTTCCTGATAACCCGGACGTTCCGTAAACCCGGATCCGGAGCCGAAAGCGCTGCTCAGATCCCGTCTCGGAATTCATTCGTTCAGCATTTACCTTTTGAACGCCGGTTTCCTGTAGCAAGTGTCGCCTAGCTGATCCGTGTAGGGCTGTTGGGAATTGGGGGTGGGGAGGATGGTGCGGGTACGTTCTGGAGCTGCCAACAGCCTGGTGTGGCTTAAGAAAGAGGTAATAGATAGGGGAAGACCAGATTATGCGAAACCTTGTAAATTAATTGATTTTTATTCTTAAGACTTTTAATTGTCTTTGAAGAATCTCAACAGAGGTGTGAACAATTTTATGGCATTTTAGATCGCTGCGTGCAGTGTGAAGGATGAATTGAGGGGACAAAATGAGAATCAAGGAGAGCAATTGTGAGGCTCTTTTCCAGGCGTCTGCCTGTGGAAGGGAGAGTGCCGATGGGGAGATACAGATTGGATTAAGAGGTACCAATGTTGTGACTTGGACAACTGGGGAATAATGATACCATTTTCTTTCTCGTTTAGGGGGAGATAATGAGTTTTAGGTGCCCCTGGGATATTAGCTAATGTGTGTTGGGAACCCAAAAGAAAGGTTTGAGGTGTGTGTGCATGTGCATATAGATGGCTGTTGAAGCCATGAAATGGGCTGGAGAGAAAGATACCTGCATTTGCAGAATAGGTTGAGGGAAGCCGAAAACAGAACACTGAGAAGGGGCAAACCGAAAGGAAAGAAAACCATAGAGAACTATCAAGGAAACTGGTTAAAGCGTTTAGTGTAACAGAGAGAAAGTAAAATGTGAACTAAAATATATCCATCAGGGCCGGGCGTGGTGGCTCACACCTGTAATCCCAGCACTTTGAGAGGCCGAGGTGGGTGGATCACTTGAGGCCAGGAGTTTGAGACCAGCCTGACCAACATGGTGAAACCCTGTCTCTACTAAAAATACAAAAATTAGATGGGTGTGGTTGCACATGCCTGTAATGCCAGCTACTTGGGAGGCTGAAGCATGAGAATTGCTTGAACCCAGGAGGCAGAAGTTGCAGTGAGCTGAGATCGCGCCACTGCACTCCAGCCTGGGCACCAGAGCAAGACCCTGTCTCAAAAAAAATAAAATAGGCCCAGCACTTTGGGAGGCCATGGTGGGCAGATCACTTGAGGTTAGGAGCTGGAGACCAGCCTGGCCAACACATTGAAACCCCGTCTCTACTAAAAATACAAAAATCAGCCAGGTATGGCAGTGCGTGCCTGTAGCCCCAGCTACTGGGGAGGCTGAGGCACAAGAATCGCTTGAACCTAGGAGGCGAAGGTTGCAGTGAGCTGAGATCGGGCCACTGCATTCCAGTCTGGGTGACAGACTGAGACTCTGTCTCCAAAAAACTAAAATAAAATAAATAAAATGTATCTATCAGATATTGCAACAAGGCCAGGCACAGTGGCTCACACCTGTAATCCCAGCACTTTGGGAGGCCTAGGCGGGTGAATCACTTGAGACCAGGAGTTGGAGACCAGTTTGGCCAATGTGGCAAGACCCCATCTTTACAAAAAATACAAACATTAGCTGGGCATGGTGGTACACACCTGTGATCCCAGGTACTTTGGAGGCTGAAACACAAGAATCATTTCAACCCAGGAGGCAGAGGTTGCAGTGAGCGGAGATTGCACCACTGCACTCCTGGCAACAGAACAAGACTTTGGTTTTCTTGTAAATAAATAAATAAATAAATAAATAAATAAATAAATAAAAAGGCCGGGTGTGGTAGCTCACACCTGTAATTCCAGCACTTTGGGGGCCGAGGTGGGCCGATCACCTGAGGTCAGGAGTTCGCGACCAGCCTGGACAACATGGTGGAACTCCCACCTCTACTAAAAATACACAAATTAGCCAGACATGGTGTCGGGCACTTGTCATCCCAGCTACTTGGGAGGCTGAGGTGGGAGAATCGCTTGAACCCAGGAGGCAGAGGTACAGTGAGCCGAAATTGCACCATTGCACTCCAGCGAGACTCTGTCCCCCCAAAAAAGATATTGCAACAAGGAGGTCATTTAGGAAATTTGGAGAAAGCTGTTTTGTAGTTATGGTGGATAGAAACCAGATTGAATTGAGAAGGCACAACATATAAAGACAGTTTTTTCATGGTGTTGATGTGAAAAGGAGACTAATGGTAGGGTATTGCAGGAGGGAGAATTCCAAAGAAAGGGAAGAAGTTTTAGGTATCTGTGAGATAGCTAGATAGATATGTCCTAGTGGCATGTTTAATATACAGATCTAAAACTTAAGAGGAAAATATAAGTGGAGGAAAAAAGCAAGCACACAATACATATGACACATTTACACATGCATTAAAAAATTATGAAGAGTGGGCCTAGGAGGGATGAGACATACTTTTCATTGTACATCTATCTTTATTGCTTGAAATTATTTTTCTATGCACATCTTATAGAAAGCTACTTTTTTTTTTTTTTTTTGAGACAAAGTCTCACTCTGTCACCCAGAGTGACAGTGGCACGATCTCGGCTCACTGCAACTTCTGACTCCCAGGTTCAAGCAATTCTGCTGCCTCAGCCTCTCGAGTAGCTGAGACTACAGGCGCATGCCACCATGCCTGGCTAATTTTTTGTATGTTTAGTAGAGATGGGGTTTCATTATGTTGGTCCGGCTTGTCTCAAACTCCTGACCTCATGATCCACCCGCCTCAGCCTCCTAAAGTGCTGGGATTACAGGCATGAGCCATGGTGCCTGGCCAGAAGGCTACTTTTTAGAAAGTCCTATGATCTATAGGCCAGAAATTCTGAAACATCAACCTTTCAGTGATAATTGAAGCCATAGATTTGGATAAGCGCGCCGGAAAAGAGCTGAGGGCTAAGAAGAGTGCTCTGGGAAATTCCAACATTTAAGGCACAAGTAGAAAAAGAGCCCTTGGAGAATCTTTGAAAAGGAACAGTGAGTGAAGAAGAAGAAAACCTGGGAGATAATTATCACAGAATCAAAGGGAAGAGTGTTTCAGGGGGGTGGATGTTGAAAGTGTCAGATGTCCCCAGGAGGCAGCTAATAGGAAAGGTGCTTTTACCTCTGAACCTAGGTTTCTTGGAAGCTTAGCACAAGAGTCAAATCCAGATCTTGAACCTTTCCCCAAGTATCACTGGGCAGTACAACCCCCAGGCTATTCTGCCCTTATGCATCACGGCTGCCAGTCCCAGTCTTTCAGTGAGTCTTCAAGTCAGCATCAGCCAGTGCTGGCACCATCAATCTTACTACATGCAAGAATGCTACCCTGGCTGGGTGTGGTGGCTTACACCTGTAATCCCAATGCTTTGGCCAGGAGTTCAAGATCAGCCTGGGCAACATAGTGAGAGACCCCATCTCTACAGATTTTTTTTTTTTTAATTAGCTGGGTGTGCACTTCCCTGTAGTCCCAGCTATTTGGGAGGCTGAGGTGGGAGGATCACCTGAGACTGAGGAGTTTGAGGTTGCAGTGAGCCCTGATGGCACCATTGCACTCCAACCTGAGTGACATACTGAGACTCTGTTTCAAAAAAAGGGCCAGATGGTAAATTTTTCAGGCCAGATTTTTTTTTTGTCACAACCATTCAAATCTGTTGCTTGTAGAGCTAAAGCAGCCATAGATAATATGTAAGTAAATGGGTGTGACTGTGTTTCAAAAAAAAAAAAAGTCAGTGATAAGAACAGTCACCAATGAGGTTTGGCCCACAGGTTGTAGTTGGTTAATCTCTGTACTATGTGATTCATTAGCCATGAAATCATAGAGATTGTATGACTCGGTT